TGGCAATGTAATTAACACACAAAAATTGAAATCTGCTGCCAAGCACACACCCACACATAGGCAGCCCAGACGGCTTTATTGAGGTCTAGCAAGTCAGTCGTGTGTGTGTGTGTGTGTGTAAGTATGTGTGTGTGTATGTGTGTGTGGGTGTGCACAGTTGTGCGTGATTGTGTTTGTGTTTACATACACGAAGTCGCAACAACTTCCTTTCTTCTCTTGTATATATATTTTTTTTTGTGTTTTCGTAATTAAAAATCAGCTGCAGGATATTTTCGCCATTTTCCCAGCGAAATTACAGGCAACATGTAAAACATAAACAGCAATTTTCACCGAGAACTCAACCAGGCCAGCCTGCTCGTCCTGCCATATCCTTAATGCCCCAGAATCGGAGCTGAGCTGGGCGCACTGAGAACTTAATGGTTATAAAGATATCCGCGCTTCAATTGAATTTCGCATTTTAAAAAGAGCTTGTGTTTTTCGTTGAATTGTTTCTCTGTTAAGCGAGTGAAATATAAACACAATGGAACGCCAGGTTGTGCATCCAAGTAGAGAGTGCTCGACCGGAACGTAGCCCGACCTAGGCTTAGAACATCTTTTAACTTTATATAAACTATAATATACATATTATATGTATTATATAAATTATATAAAATATCTTGGATTGAATTAAAATAATGACAAATTATCTACAATTGCTTGGCAAGATTTGAAAAATAGATACATATTTTCAATAATTAAATACAGGGTATTCAAAAAGCTGACAACTTATTTTAAGAAGAGTACAGACACAAAAAGAATATGTCTATAAAACGCCGATGTCATTAATGTTGTAATAATAAGCTTAACTACATTAAAATAAGTAATACTGTTCCGGTCGTGTATGCCCGACCAGCAGATACCCTTAACCACCCGCCGAGCTTCCATTTGAAACATTATATCTTCCTTCGTAGCATAAATATACAAGAAAACACACACACACACTCGGACAAGCCGCTTGTTGCGCAGCATATGTATTTGTTGTCCGATCTTCATGAAATTTTAAGGACGTAATAAAAGTGATATAAGTTTGTCATATCTAGTTTTCATAATGTTTGAGTTATGCTGTCTCTATATTGATTTTTATCTATAATATCAAAATGATCCGACGACAAAAGATGATGAGCTCGTTCTACGTAAGGTATACATGAATATATATATTATTAAAATTTCAAGTCTCTAGCTTAACCGGAGATTGACTCAACTCGTCGTCCTTATCAAGAATACAATAGAGTCGAACTTGTCCTCTCCTGCCCATTACACACATTTCTACAAAAAACGTTACACCCGTTTTAAACATTTTTTATGGATCCAGGGTATAAAAAAAGCTTTCAAGAATCAGAGTGAAAGGATTTTTAACGTATACTGCGTAAATATAAGACTGGCAGATGTATGCAAATATGATTGAATCATTTAAATAAATTGTCTGCCTGCTGCTGGAGGGCGTGACAAATGGCTCAAGCCCCAGGGTTGGGAAATCCGCAACCATTAACAAATATTTTTATTATACTCAAATAACAATTTCACGTCTGCTGCGCCCGAGAGCCGAATTTATTTACGTAATTTATTTTCCAATCATTTATTTTGTATTAATTAAATATGTGTTTTTTTTTCATACAAAACCACGTAAATATTTATGTTTTCATAAGTTGTACAGCGGGTGAGAAAAATCTGTTTTTAAGCCACAATACAAACATGCAAACCCCAATAAAAACATTGACGGATTTTCCTTTTTTAAGTCGCTGCCTAAACTGAAATGAAATGAAAGAGCCTTTGAGTGATCTGAGTTATTTTTTTTTGGGGTGCGGCCTGTTTTTGACAAATTGACTTTGGTAGCAATAATAATAACCAGAACAGCGAATGGCTCTCAAGTACCAAATTCATATTGATTTCAAACGAAACTCAACATGCAAATGACAGATTTATTTTTCATGCTGTCGTTTCGCCTGTCAATCAACTTGGCCAAGGTGTTGATTGATGTCTAGACTCCTAGACGCAGCCGGTTGAGCTCGTGGGCCCTAGCCAGGGGTTTTCACAAAAACGCCAAAGCTGAGTGGCAAAAACATTTCATATACATATGTACGTATATATTTTTTGACAGCTACGCATTCAGTTTTTCGGGTCTGGTTCCATATTTGGATTTGTTTAGATGTGGGTGCAATGGACGCCAAATAGAACGCCTTGACTACGCCTGGGTGCACTTGATTGACTTTGTTGGTATGGTATGGGGAAGCGAGTGGAGCTACTAAGCTGAGCATTAGCAATGCTTACAAATGCAATGACGCATGTTGCGATCAATGTTGAATAGGATTATATTACAATATTCAAGTATGTACATACATATGTATGTTTGAATGTACATGAGTCTGTCTGTCACTCAGAAACAGAGATAAACGTGATATATCGTGGTCAGCACGAAATAGGTGAAGCATTAAAATCATTTATAAACAAATTTTAACTAAGATTCATTTAGGACAAACATTTTTATGCACAGAGAAATTTAAAATTTTACATACCTCATGAAATTGTAGTAGAATTTGATGCGACTGCAACTTTGTCATTAAAATCTTAACCCAGTTTTCATTGTCTGTAAAGCCAAAAATGTAACAAAAACACCATTCACAGGCGTACGCAGCAGTCACAGGTGTGCGCACGAGCTTTTGTTTGTCAAGTACAGTAATTTGTTTGCATGTTTATTCATGAAAACGCGGCGAGAGCTCAGACAAGAGGCAGACGAAAAACAAATACAAAAGCAAATTTCTTCAAACGTGCAATTTACGCGCACTCTCTCTTTCTTTACCCCACTCTCCACCATTGCCCTCTCACTTACTCACACACACACACACAATGTAGATTTTAATAATTCAACACTTCTCTTTACGCCAGCAACAGCAGCAAAATTGAAAACTTAAGCGGGCAAAAAGTTGATGCCGCCCCAAAACAGGCGACAATTCTCGTTTTCAACACCAAGAACAGCTCCTAAAAAAAACCAGAGTTGTAAAACGCGACTAGAAACAAAGTGCTTTAAATCCCCCAAACTTGGGAGCTGGGCACATTCTTACAAATGCGGCGAGGCTTGGGTCTAAGGCTGTGGCTGTTCTTAGTATGACGAATAACCCCATGAGGGGACAAGATAAAAGAGGCTAAGCTTTATTTATTATGCCAGTTAGGGAGCAAATCTTGGCAGTTCGTTCTAACCAAAAGATTGTACTAAAGGGAATTCGTTATGTGCGTAGTCTGTTTGATTTGAAAACTTATGCTTGGTTTTAAATTATGCACAAATTTATATACTTATATATTATAAGCTTATTTAATACTGTATTTAAATATATAAAAGGTTATTGGTTTGTTTAAGCCACATTTTAAATATTGCAAATCAAGTCAGTTGTGGGAAACCACATCAGCGAATTGTTCAAATTGTTGTTTTACAGCAATCTTACAGAAGCCACGTCGAAAATTCAATTAAAAACTTTATGAACAACATGGATTTGCAAAAATCAAAGAAAATATTTTAAAATTTGCCTGCACATTACAGCCTGCGTATGGAAGTGCTATAAGAGCAGCTAGAACAACTGATAGCGATATGCCAGCGCCCACATAGACGCCAATTGCCGAAGCGAATCTTTCGGACTGCCTCTATTCGCATGTGTGTGTGTGAGGATGCGGCCAGCAATGGCATCAGGTAGTCCGGGCAGTCATGTCAGAGCCTGGGGAGCTCGCGCAAACGAAATAATCCAATATACATATTGTATTGTGCGATAATACGCTACACGGGTGGAAAAACTGTTCGCCTCCCATAGAAGCGAGGCGAGTTTTCCTCTTTTTCAGCTTCTTGTTTTTTAAAACATTTTCTCGCTTTCGAGTGTTTACCTTGGTTGCTTTGTTGGCACAATGCTACGCATCTAGGAATAACGTTTGGTACGCTGCTCGAGTGCGTTCATTTAAATTTTTTGCAATTTTTAGGCAGTTGTATGCATGGCAAAACAAACACACAAACCAACTCCCTTACAAAATTCAACGGAAATCATTTCCATTTTCAGAAACTGCGCAAAGAATTTACATGTATACTCGAGTATGGGCTTATACCAGGTATAGACTTTGCCATTTTCGCCCTTCGTATGAATGTGCAAATAAATTGCAAAGTCAAAACTCACACAAAAATTTCATCGAGATGAAACGCACTGAAATTCCATGAAGTTCTTTGCTTCAGCTGCTCAAATTAAGAGCGAAATTGTACTATATGAAACAATTTTGCTTGTAGTCCATAATGAAGAAACAAATATATGATATGCCATATATTATCATCATTTTTAATTTAACCGAACAATTTAATATGATAAAATAGTACTAGGTAAATATTGAAACACAATAAAAGCAAGTAGTCCGCTGCCATTTGAGAAATTGAACATATGTACAGATTGCATTTCATTTGTTTACTCATTTTGCCAATCTCTGCACAAACTATGGCAAATAAAAATTTATTTTGATTGTAAGTGCCAGTCGGACCATGTGCCAAGGATAAACGCGTTCTCAATGTTTGGGCAACTCCCGGACTTTGTGGTCCATAACTGTCGACTGTGTCGACTGCCAACAGCCGGCCAGCCAGTGGGCAAATGTCCAAGATGGTTGGCGCTAATGTTACCGTCTGGACCTTTTTGTGCCACAACGCAACCCGCCCCCGCCCCAGTCCTAGCTTGGTTCGAGTGTCTCCTGGTGCTGTTTATTTTTATGTGACAATGCAAAGTAAGTGCACTTGAGTTGTGCTCCCGGCCTACAATCAGCTGGCAGCTGCTCAGTGCGCGATAATTAACATTTGTTACGCAGGTCAACAGCAATATACACACACGCACACACACAAACACACACACACACACACACATGTTACACTACGCCACTCCATAAATGCGTTCAGAGAACTGTATAAAAGTCAGTGAGCTTTAAAATTGGCACGGCCTTTCGCTCAATTACGGCAGTATGAGGAGCTCCATTGGCTGCCGGTGCTGCCGGTGCTGCTCCTGCTGCTGAGTTGCCGTTGCACGGCCATTAGCCCGAGTCCGGGATCGGGCTCGACTCTGAGAATGGGCATGGGCATGGGTACGGCAGAGCTCCGACTTCAGTTCCGCTTTGTATGCATGCCATAATTGTTTGGCTAGGAAAAATAGCAGCTCGCAGATGCCAATCAATGAGAAGCCCGCTATGATGCCGCAGATGTTGCCAATTGTACCTGGAAATGAAGTAGCAGTCGCATTCATATCCATATATATACGTATAGTAGGCATATGTATGTATATTTATGCAAAATTGTAATATGTAGCAGACTCACTGAAGATCTCATACCAGTCGTTTTTAATAATCTGCCGAAAGTATTGAATGTGCGTTTCGGCAAAGTAAATACGCACATCGGCCAACTCGGAGCTGTCATGGCCATAACTGTTATTGGCCATGCCACTGCCACTGCTGCTGCCACTGCTGCGCCTCCTGCTGTTGTTGCTGCAAAATTAAACTTATTGATAGTGACTGACGCAGGGTAAATGTAACCCCATCAGGGTAGCATGCACAGAGATGAACCAAACCAAAATAAAAGGAAGGCTTTTTCAATCACGAAACTTCAGTAATGGAAACTGAAGGAACTGTGGAGTTTTTGGAACCATCAAATTTAATGTCATTACTTTGAATATTTTCGTTTGTCTGTAACTGAAACCAAAAAGAGTTACTCGATAGTAGTAAATTTCTCATTAAATTATCAGACAACCATAAAAGTATGCATTTTGATTAAATTTTCTTTAAAAGTGGAATTCAGAGAACGGCTGAAAATTGATTTTAAAATGAAATGACGCAAATTCCTCTTTGAGCCTCTTCCCTTTCTTTTTTTCTTGGCAATACTTGCTGCTTACGTCATTGGTCTATGCAGACTGTTAAGGGCCAGAGCTCCGGCGCCACGAACATTGTAGCGTATCTCAGTGCAGGAGGGCAGACATTCGGGACAGTAGAGCGCATCCTCCAACTCATGCTCGAGGCCGGGCACATTGGCGCGACTGGTGATGACATTCAGCCATTTGACTGAAATAATACCAAAAACTCAATCGACTTGAACAACTGCCACAGCCACTGCCCACTCACACTTATAGCGCCTGAGGCACTCCATGTGCTGGAGCGTGCAGAAGACGCCTCCTGTGGCGTCTCCAATGTAATGCTTGGGTATCTGAAAGGGCAGGCACTCACACAAATTATACATGCTGCGGGCGCGGCAGGCGGAGATGCATTTGCTGAAGGTATACCGATTGGTGAAGTTGTGCGGCGTCTCATCCCAGAAGAGACATTTACGCTATGAACACGTTTATTGATTGATTGGACAATGATTGACATCTGGCCATGATACGCACCACAGCGGGACTCATGTGTCGGGCTTCCGGCACAGTCTCAAAGATCTTGGGCCGCACGGGCAAATGAGTGCGACGACCTGTCTGCACATAACGTACAGCAACGCCTCCAGATTGAGGATCCGGATAGTTCATGGGTTCGTAGATGGCAATCTGCGTGGATAATAATAGTTATATGTAATAGTTAAAATGTTGTACTAGCTGCTATAAACTTGAATCTTAATTTTTTATAATCTACCAAAGCTATCAATCTATTTAAAAGAATATGGTGTGGATATTATCTTTGCCAATTACCGAAAAACCTTCTAGATGATGCATCTTATAAAAATTATCGTCTTTTGGAGATTTCAGTGTAAGCACCAGACCCATATCGTATCCATAAAAGCGCTGATGATACGTGCGGTCCTTGAGAAACCTGTGAAAAGCCAATAACATATACCCAACATCTAGAATTCGATGCTTTGATTTGCATACTCTCCATCGGAATTGAAAGTGCAACAAAATCCGTAGATCGAGAGCGTTTCACGAAACTCCTGCAGGCAATCGAAGGATCGGCCTGCCAAACGACACGATACAAAGATGTCGCTGCAATTGGGCGTCAGGATGCGCATACGTTTGCTTGTATTAAAGAACAGCTCGTAGGGCGTGGTATCTATCGAATCCAATAAGCCCTGAAAGCGCAGCACGCGCTCATAGTCGCCTAGCTCCTCGGGGCTGTAGAACATGCCAAAGGCATGAAGCTCACCATAGAAGTAACTAGCATTTCGCTGCTTGGGATCCTTGTCGCTGCTGGAATGGATAAAGAGAAAGCATACCTAGTAAGGGGCTTACCACATCCAGACTTAACTCACAGCTCCTGTGCGTACTGCCAGACGGCACGCTTGGATATGCGATTCTGGGTGCATACTGTAACAGCGGGCAGGGCAACTTGGCATACGGGATACAATGGATTGTATAGGGTGGTCACCAGCTCATCCGTTGCGTCCTTATACGTGCCCCATACGAATGCAATTAGGACGGTCAGCGCAGTTATGTGGCAAATAAGCCAAAAGAATCTGCGGCAGAGTTTGCTAATTGAAAGGACTGCCGAGCGGGGGGCACGAAGGCTTTTAAGCCTTGGCCGTGCTGCTTACCGCTCCTGAATGCGACGACCGTGCTCGACTAATTTGCCATAACAATGAAATGACAGGTTTTGCAGCAAATCCTTTAACGCCGCGGCAAATGACAGTTTTCGCGTAGCTGGTTCCTCTTCGCGAATAACCGCCATTTGCGGGACTGACGCAGGTGGATGAATCCTTGGTTTGGGTATCCACCAGGCGGCGCGTCCAACCACCAATCGTTGGGATGGCAATCGCGATGCCCGCTCCGCATTTGTTGTCATGTTTGGCACTCACTCAGCCGTTTGTGGATTGCAACTGTTGCGGCTGTCTACGCGATACGCGCCTTTTTGTAGGCGCCCTCCAACAAATGTCCTGCCTGGCATTGTCCCTGGCAGTGGGATGGGCGGCGGTTGGATGCCAGCTCGTTTTAATGAAAATTTTGCAGTCATGTCGTGCGTGTTGTTGTAATTAGGCCTCGTGTTTCAACTTATTGCCAACAAATTAACTGCGACATGGCACGTGGTGTTCAGCATTGGTCCCAATCCCACTCCGTTGGCTGTTTATTCAGCCAGGCTCTCGATTCGTCTTGGCAATTTTCCTTAATTGTCAACAATTTAAAATGAAATTAGTTAAATGCGCATTAAATGTCAGCCAACGGAAACAGCAACATCATCATCGTCGTCATCATCATCACCGTCATCATCATCATCATCATCATAATCATCATAATGACACTAGGTAGCAACAAGGACAGAAGCAGGTCATGTCCTTTTTGATTTGGCTTGGGCTTGCTGCCAGTCTAAAAAAAAACTCAGCACCCTCCCCAAATAGGCCCCGTGGCCTGGATTACGAAGCAGGCAAATGAAGCCACGTGTTGATTGTGAATATAGATATACGAACTTTTATAATTCAAGTATTTCTATTTATTTAAACATTGTGCTGCTCTGGCTTTAAGCAATTACAAACATAATTTTCCAGACATTCTGTCCAATCATTTTTTAAAATTTTCTTTATGTGAATAAAAAATCCAGTAATTCGTGATTTCATTAAGTAATTACAAATATTTTTCTCAATACGTAACTTTTTTTCTTCAGCTCTTCTCTTTCTACTATGGGCATATATGTAACTTGCGTGCATTCAACATCTTTGCCTTACTGTTAGCTCTGCTGTGATCTATTATACGACAGCAGCCCATATAAATGTACTTGCAGAAAAAGAAAAGCGCCTCAAAAATGGCCACCAATGAAAATCCCATAAATATTGACAAAATATTTCCAATGGTGCCTAATAGACCATCAAATACACATGAATTACAAATAAAGGGTATTTATGTATTCACTTACTGAATATCTCGAACCATTCGTTGTTCAAAATTCTCATGTAGAGTTGAGCATGCGGCTGTCCAAAAAAGACTCGCAGTACGGATAAATCGGAGCCTAACAGTGTGTCATTGTATTCATCAGGTTTTAGGTTGGCCAGATAGGTATCAATGGGTAGCTCACTCATGGATACCCTGTATTGAATATCATTACATGAAGGCAGACACTGTGGACAGTACAGTGCTTCTTCGGTTTCACGCTCCAGACCCGGAATCCTAAGTCTCTCAGTTAGCACATTATTCCATTTAACTGCAAAATAATTTTCGAAATATGTAAAGAGATTACTTGACTAAAGTCCAGGACATACATTGATACTGGCCGAGGCACGTGACATGACTAAGCGTACAATAGACGACGCCTTCCAAGTTCTCGACCAGATCGAGTGGCAACTGGAAGGGCAGGCAATTGCACAACGCTATGATGCTGCGTATGCGACATCGGGTAATGCAGTTAGGGAACGTGTAGACGGAGTTCATCATTCGCATATTCGACTCGCTATGGAAATAACAGCGACGCTAGAATGGAAGAAACTATTACAAAAATCAATATATAAACTAATCGCAACAGCTTACATTAAATGGGGAAAAGGAGTGCAAATTTTTATCGGTATCTATAACACGCGCAAAAATCTTTAGAAAACTTTCCTGTCTTTGTCCTGGAAACATTTCCAATGCATTTGACGATGATATCGAAGCAAAATTGTCCGCGTCATGGATTATGACCACGTAACCATTTGTATTCAAAATGGGCGCCAAATAATCCGCATGACTCGAATTAAGCACGACTGTAAGGCCCAAAGCTGAATCAGCATACCGATTCTTAAAATCGCGTCTCCTAAGTCTACATAATGATTAAGGCAATATAATGTTTGATCAAAGAGTGTGATATAAGGTGACAATATGACTTGCATGTTCTTGCCATTAAAAGTGCAGCAGGGTCCATACTTGGTCAGACTGGTCTGAAAAGCGGCCTCGCTAAAGCAAGGTATATCCACATTGCGCAGACTGCATTTCATTATATAATCCCTGCAATTGGGCGCTAGCTGGAAAACATGTGATACGGGACAATCAGTTTTTATGGATTGTACAGGCAAACTCACCATTCTCATAATACGCCGCGTATCGAAGAAGGTTTCGTTGCTCCAGGTGCCGAATATGTCCAAAAACGCTTGAAAATTAACATAATCATCGACGTCTGAGTCCCGATCGCCGGGTATATATAATTTGCGTAAATACTTCAGCATGTCCAAGTAATGCTTCAATTCACGTGGGGATGGATCATTTCTTTGCCTGCTCGACAATGTCGGGGTGTGAAATTCAAGAAGGGGTCGATGCGACTAAGGCTACTTACAGCTCGAGAGCGTATCGGGTCGCGGCCCGCATGGAAATGCGATTGTTGGAGCATATTGACACAGCCGGAAATGGCACATTTTCAACAGGATAAAGTGGATCCTTCAGATTGATGACAAAGTATTGTGCAATAAATTGCTCCCAGGTGAGCAAGAGCACAGCCACCATTGAAATGAACGTGGTCGTGTGCACCAGCAGCCAAATTAATCTGCAAACAAACGAGCCCAAGATAAACGCACAAAGCGCACGGCCATGAGCGCGTTTTGAGGCAAATACGGAAACGGAAATGAAAAATGTGAAAGCAAAAAAAAAAAAATTAATGCAATGCTACAGCGGAACGAGATGCAACGAGACGTTGACGATGACGATGACGGCAGCGCCTGGAGAGAGGGGCAGAAAGACAAAAGATACGAAGCATAGCTGCAAATTTTCTATGGGGTCCACGTTGCGTATGAGCAACGTAACGCCAGTGTAGCAAAAGCAGCATCGAGCTGCCGTTTTCTCTGTCGCTTACCTCTCCGCCAACGTTAATTCCGATGCCAATAGTTTGCTATAGCCCTGCAAGGATATATTGCGCAGTAATTCAGCCATATCCAGACAAAAGCGCGACCCAAGCGACGCCTTACGCCCAGCGCCGCCACCCGCTTTCGCTGCACTCGGATTTTTAATCCACCAGATGGCATTGGATGTTGATTCAATATTAACCATTGGAGCGCACAATTTTAACGATGATGCGAGCTATTCGCGCAATGCCTGTCCTGTCCCTGTACTTGTTGTCCGCCAACTGAAGGCCTTCCACGTGCAATTGAGTAGCTACTGCCGCGACCAAATTGGGCGTGGCCAGGCGTCGAGGCCTTAATGCAAGTTTGTCATTAACTTAAGTTTTAATTGTCCTAGCGACTGGCTACAAAAACTACTACAGTAATTATGAAAAAACGTGCAGCATACTTTTAGGCATTCACAGCAAACAAACAGCCAGCGTTGCCAACTACTTATGGCAGGTTTCGTTGGGCAGTTTTACTCAATACTCAGGTTGCTTTGAATAGTATTTTTACATAATTAAAAATAATTAAAATCCCAAGGACTTATTAAATAAGATTATATACAAATAATTTTAATTAAGTGAAAATAGCAAGCAAAATTCATTGGATACTCCTATGCTAATAAAAAGTACCTTTGAATAATGAGAAAACTAAATATATGTATTTACTTGTACTAAAACTGACTTAATATATTGTAGGCTTAAGAATTTATCAAATAAACGGACGTTTACTTTTAGCGGCCTGCTGGCCAAAACGGCTGTCCTGGATAGTTACGGCTGCCCACAAAAGCATACTGATTGGGATTAACAACCCGAGCTATATCCGTATAACTGCGCCCGTTGCGCTCCGTGCGATATCCATAGGCCGGCCAGCCCAAGGCCACGGCAAGCAGTGTAAACCAGGCCAGTAGAGCGAGCAGTAAGCTCTTTCCTTGCAAGGAACACATTCTGCTTCTAGGGATCACTATTGAGAACTGCGCTTCGATGTCGTCGCGTCGATCCCTTTTATATGACTGTGCCCAGTTAGTGGTCAGAAGTGTCTTGAAGTTCTGCTGCCTGATCGATCAGGTTTTGGTGTGACAACAACAACACTTTGAACAATTTCAGAGCCACGCGACGCATGCTGCGCACGTAGCGCCATTGTCAACCTCCTCTTCTCTCAGACTGCGACGTGGGATCTTTACCTGTAACATCTCGTAGTGCCATCAAAATGTCATTCACTTTGCGGCCGGTCAAGTTTTAGGTACCAGTAATCACGTTTTGACTCAGAATCAAATAGATATACAATGAGCTTTCAACTGTCAATTTTATAGCTTTGTGAATGATTTGGTTTATTAAATTTTGGCCACTTTAAAAGTACTTAACAATTGCTAAATGGCAACCTAATGAGGTTTGTGGGTGCATTAAGAGTCATACAATACGCTGAAATTTGTACATGACAGATTTCATAAAATAATATATCTACCCAACTTAAGAATAGCCAGCGGGGAACTCCTAGGCGAGTGCGAAGCTAAGCTGCATATCTTTATGCCAGACAGAGATCTTACTGAGTCAATGCTAATTGAATCACATGTGCTCGCACTTAAGGTACATATATCTTTTATGTATTGAAAAAAAAACCTGTCTTCCAATCATACGATATTTGCGGATAAGTAAAAGAGTCAAATAAACGATATTAAAAGAGAATGTTAAAATCAAAAATACTAAGTTAGAAAATTAAGTGCTAAAGTAAAAATTGCATTGTAATAAAACAAGTACTTAACAAAATAAATATGAAAAGAAGTGAATAATTTAATTTTTCATAGAAAACAAACTATAAAATTAATGAAAGCATCTATTTATAATCATATGTACTTAAAAACTAGAATGCAATGTATCATTAACGTCCTCCTGGCCAATAGGGCTGTCCTGGATAGTTGCGGGAGCCGATTGAAACATATGGATTGGGATTAACGACACGTGCTATATCCGAATATGAATGTGCAGGCCCGGCCAAGGCAAGGGATAACAGCGTGATCCAAGCGAATAAAGCTATTAGCAAGACTTTTCCTTGCAACAATGACATTTTGATTCTAGAGTTTGCTATTGAGAACTGCATTTGAATGCCGCCACGCAGAAGCCTTTTATACGACAAAACTCAGTAAGTGGCCAGAAAAATCAATGCACTCTGTTTCCTGATTATCGATCAGGTTTCGATTTAACAATAACAACGTAAGCATTTCTATGGTTATACAAATACGACAAATTCCATGCTGACTTCTACCACTCACAACTTGCGATGTTAATCTTAAGCTGTTTTATTATACACAATCATGTTTTCACTCAGAACTAACTACTCACATAGCTACTTGTAGATAGCTTAGCTTTCAACACTTTGCTGGAAAAGCACTGTGAATGATCGGGCGCAGCATAACATAACTATGACAATTTAAATAGTAATTAACAAGTATAATACGACTTGCTAATGACGTAGGTGCGCCAGTTGTTCGTTAGTATATGTCGTTAATGGCGAGAAACAATTGCGTTTAGTAGTTATATAAACTTATAAGAATTGCAATGAAATTTCGTATTTTTGTTTCCTGCAATGACAATTTTATTATGGACTTAGGGGAACTCCTATATGACTGTGCCGCATATCTTAACAGACAAATGACTCAGTAATGGCATTAAAATCTTATTTACTTGTATTTTCTCACAAATTGCCTTATGTAAGTGCAAACCAGTCTTTGAATCAATTTACACTCAAGGGTTTATATTTAATGCCAATTTATAATATCTATATTAAGTTTCCTTATTTGCCTGAAGACTAGTTGTCGATAAAACAGAACAATGAGGATCCGGTTTCAAGTCTCATGCTAGTATCCGAATGCAGTCATTGGTCATGACCCTTAGCTACTCTTTAAAAAGTGCATTGATATTATATGTACAAAAAAGCTTTTAAAAAATGAATATCTTATTAAAACAATATAAATCTCAAGCAAATTCCACTTTCAACGCTGTCTCAACTGGAGACAGATATGCAGATATATAATGAATTTAATTTAGCCACAGAGACTAGGGATAGAACTGGAGATTACCAGAACCAGGCCAATAGAGCGATTGAGAAGCCTTGCAAACGCGACATTCTGTCTATGTATACATGGACATATAAGTATAAATATATATAACTATTTTTTATTTAGTTAATTGTTTTGCCTGATTTAATGCCAGTTTGGTTTACACTTAGGGTAACTCCGACATGATTGCGAGTTGCATATATTAATTAAAAAGTTATTCAGTAATGATTATTTAAGTTGTAAACACCTCTGCTTATTCAGATGTGTGCCTTATATAATTTAAAACCCGTCCTATAAACTATTCGTAGCCCGCTGCCCCTTTTCCATGGAGTCAGAAAAACACACTGCAAATAAACGTTCTTTCAACTAGTGACAGTTCAGCTTAAACCAATAATAAAAGAAGTACATACAAATTGTTAACTGATTCACACTATAAAATCCGTATTTGACATTAAAATCAACCAGATTTATTTTCAAGAGCGTGATTCGCGTGACAGTTACGTGACACGCCCATCCCCAACCTAGTCGCATTTCAGTCACGTAGCGCCGAGCAGCTACAACTCGGTTAGTATTTATGTGGTATATATGTATATATATGCATACATATGTTTAGTCGGATAATAAATGTTATTGCAAAGCTAATTAAAAATAGCTTTAATTTAAAAAGTTTCACATACAAAGCACGCAACAAGCTGTAATTGAACTTAAATTATTTGAAAACAAAACTTTCACTGATTTATTTGCCCTAACTTGAGTATATTACACAAATTTTAACTATAGATGCTAGCCCCACAGATGGGAATATGGAGCACGCGGTAGATAACGACCCGCGCCTAGTCCTAGATAGGGATCCGGCCGTAAGACATTAGCAATCTCTGAGTAGGTGCGTCCTGTGCGCTGTCGATTTCTTGTCCTGTTCGGCTGCTGTGGATATCCATAGCCATAGCCATAGCCATACCCATCATAACCAGCATAACCATCGCCATATCCACCATATCCGCCGTTATAGTTACTGCCATAGTTGGCCGAATAGCCACCATAGCCATAGTTGTAGCCTCTATAGCCCGAACCAGCGCTTCCCTTCAGTCCTTTTAGTGCGTTGAAAAACAGAGCGTTGCCCAAATCCAGGCAGTTGCCCAGCAGCAAGGAGAGAAACATTATGCAAGGAACTCTCATGTTGTCTGTCTCTGCCTCTGGTTCTGGTTCTGGTTCTTGTTCTGTGCGAATCGTTTGTGTTCTGGCCATATATCTACGCAGTTCCCTTCTATTTATACCCTGCGAATGGAGTAGTCGGGATAGTGATGACACATTATGCTTTTAATGGTTTTATTTCTGCGTCTGTCTAGATATTTAGCCAACTGGATCGCTAGAGATCTGCTGCCATAATGCTAATGTCAATCCATCCAGCAACAATTTAATGCATGACTGTGAATTACTTGGACGTTAACAGATAGATCCAGCATATTGGCATGCAGATCACGTCCGTGATTAACGCATTGCGCGGGAAGAAGCCGCTCAAGCGGATCCATGAGTCGGCGGCCGTCGGTCAACGGCTGCCCTCATCTTATTTCCTCTCAAGCTTTTTGGACTTTTTGTTTACAATAATTGTTTTGATGAACACATACACATAATACGCTCCGTTAGAGAGCGAATCTTTTGCAGCTCTCACGATCTCTCATCATGCATTGATTAGCACAAGTCGAAAACAGACAAACAAACCGAGGACAGGTTTTGAATACAAATCTGAAACGTCTGCCTCTCTTATCGCCTAACGCCAAAACTTGCCCCTCAGTTAGAACTGGCTGCTCTTAGCGCATGGGCGCTCCAACTCGATTCATACCGACGTGATCATGACGCGAATACGAATAAATATGCTAACGGCCTTGGCAACGTGCCTTCTACTCATAATCCGCACGTGTAGTTGCCAATTTCCAATAGCAAGATCATCGGCGACAGCTGGTGCTGCAGTGGCATCCGCTGGCGCCATTACGGCAGTAGCCCAGTTACTTCAACAAGGATTGAATGGCAGGCAACATCACGGCGGCAGGAGGCGTACGCCACCAGGCCAAATGAATAGACGTGGTGGCGGCTGGAATGGTGGCAACGGCTGGAATGGTGGCAGCGGCTGGAATGGTGGTGGCGGCTGGAATGGTGGCGGCGATTGGAACGGAGCTGGCAGGCAACCACCTCCTGGTTGGGGCAACTGGGGAGGGGGCAGACCAAATCCTCCTGGATGGGGTGGCTGGAGTGATGGAGGCGGAAGGCGACCTCCACCCGGATGGGGTGGTGCAGGAGGCTGGGGAAATGGAGTTCCACCTGGTTGGGGAGATAGAAACGGACCCCCACCATCTGGCTGGGGAGCTGGAAATGAAAATCCACCACCAGGCTGGGAAGACGGAAATGGAACACCACCCTCTGGATGGGGAGATAACGACGGTTCTTCACAACCGGGTTGGGAAGATAACTACGATCCATCACGCCCCAGTTGGGGGAATGGAAATGTGCCATTCCAACTGCCGCCAACGAATGACGATGGCCAGGAACTTGTACAGAATACCAACTCGAATCCACCTATAAACGCGCCGTCAACAACGACGCCAAACCCAATTGCTGCTGCGCCATCCACACAACCCACCCACGATTCACTGATAGTGGGAAAAAATCCACCACCTCTCATAATTTCGCCTACTCCCTCTCCAAATTCTGGTGACACGCTTATTGTGGGCACAAATCATCCACCTCTGGGGCCACTAGCAACACCGACGCCATCGTCTAGATCGATTGAGCAATCCCGGTTACGAAGCATTGTCTTCCCCAATTCTTTACATTACGTGCACGCTCCCGGCCTGGAAGTTGAAGCGGAACCAATCGATGTGCGTAGAAGAAAATGAGCTTCACGATCTGTTAGATCTTTCAGTATGTTTGTTTATACGAAGTAGAGGTAATAATTATACATTAATAATTAATTTATAGAGAATGTGCAATGTAATAAACACACAAATAAAATTGAATAATGGCAAAGCTCAGTGCTCTCTGAGATTCGGCTCGAACTCAAGTTCGCTGACGTTTCAAAACGACATAACTCCCACCGCTCGGATGGAAATAGCTCCGCGGGGAGTTATGACGTTCCAAAACGACATAACTCCGCGCGGTATGATGGGTAATAGCTCCGCGGGGAGATATCACGTTCCAAACCGACAAAACTCCGCGCGGTATGATGGATAATAGCTCCGCGGGGAGATATGACGTTCCAAAACGACATAACTCCCTCCGCTCGGATGGAAATAGCTCCGCGGGAAGATATGACGTTCCAAAACGACATAACTTCCTCCGCTCGGATGAAAATAGCTCCGCGGGGAGATATGACGTTCCAAAACGACATAACTCCGCGCGGTATGATGGGTAATAGCTTCGCGGGGAGATATGACGTTCCAAGACGACATAACTCCCTCCGCTCGGATGGAAATAGCTCCGCGGGGAGATATGACGTTCCAAAATGACATAACTCCGCGCGGTATGATGGGTAATAGCTTCGCGGGGAGATATGACGTTCCAAAACGACATAACTCCCTCCGCTCGGATGGAAATAGCTCCGCGGGGAGATATGACGTTCCAAAACGACATAGCTCCGCGCGGTATTATGTGTAACAGCTCCGCGGGGAGATATGACGTTCCAAAACGACATAACTCCCTCCGGTCGGATGAAAATAGCTCCGCGGGGAGATATGACGTTCCAATACGACAAACTCCCTCCGCTCGGATGGAAATAGCTCCACGGGGAGATATGACGTTCCAAAACGACATAACTCCGCGCGGTATGATGGGTAATAGCTTCGCGGGGAGATATGACGTTCCAAAACGACATAACTCCCTCCGCTCGGATGGAAATAGCTCCGCGGGGAGATATGACGTTCCAAAACGACATAGCTTCCTCCGCTCGGGTGGAAATAGCTCCGCGGGGAGATATGACGTTCCAAAACGACATAACTCCGCGCGGTATGATGGGTAATAGCTTCGCGGGGAGATATGACGTTCCAAAACGGCATAGCTCCGCGCGGTATGATGGATAAAAGCTCCGCGGGGAGATATGACGTTCCAAAACGACATAACTCCGCGCGGTATGATGGGTAATAGCTCTGCGGGGAGATATGACGTTCCAAAACGACATAACTCCCTCCGCTTGGATGGAAATAGCTCCGCGGGGAGATATGACGCTCCAAAACGACATAGCTCCGCGCGGTATGATGGATAATAGCTCCGCGGGGAGATATGACGTTCCAAAACGACATAGATCCGCGCGGTATGATGGATAATAGCTCCGCGGGGAGATATGACGTTCCAAAACGACATAACTCGCTCCGCTCGGATTGATAATAGCTCCGCGGGGAGATATGACGTTCCAAAACGACATAACTCCCTCCGCTCGGATGAAAATAGCTCCGCGGGGAGATATGACGTTCCAAAACGACATAACTCCACGCGGTATGATGGGTAATAGCTCCGCGGGGAGATATGACGTTCCAAAACGACATAACTCGCTCCGCTCGGATTGATAATAGCTCCGCGGGGAGATATGACGTTCCAAAACGACATAACTCCCTCCGCTCGGATGGAAATAGCACCGCGGGGAGATATGACGTTCCAAAACGACATAACTCCGCGCGGTATGATGGGTAATAGCTTCGCGGGGAGATATGACGTTCCAACACGACATAACTCCCTCCGCTCGGATGGAAATAGCTCCACGGGGAGATATGACGTTCCAAAACGACATAACTCCGCGCAATATGACGGATAATAGCTCCGCGGGGAGATATGACGTTCCAAAACGACATAACTCCGCGCGGTATGATGGGTAATAGCTCCGTGGGGAGATATGACGTTCCAAAACGACATAACTCCCTCCGCTCGGATGGAAAATAGCTCCGCGGGGAGATACGACGTTCCAAAACGACATAACTCCGCGCGGTATGATGGATAATAGCTCCGCGGGGAGATATGACGTTCCAAAACGACTTAACTCCGCGCGGTATGATGGGTAATAGCTCCGCGGGGAGATATGACGTTCCAAAACGACATAACTCCGCGCGGTATGATGGGTAATAGTTCCGCGGGGAGATATGACGTTCCAAAACGACACAACTTCCTCCGCTCGGATGGAAATAGCTCCGCGGGGAGATATGACGTTCCAAAACGACATAACTTCCTCCACTCGGATGGAAATAGCTCCGCGGGGAGATATGACGTTCCAAAACGACATAACTCCAGGCGGTATGATGGGTAATAGCTCCGCGGGGAGATATGACGTTCAAAAACTACATAACTCCCTCCGCTCGGATGGAAATAGCTCCACGGGGAGATATGACGTTCCAAAACGACATAACTCCGCGCAATATGACGGATAATAGCTCCGCGGGGAGATATGACGTTCCAAAACGACATAACTCCGCGCGGTATGATGGATAATAGCTCCGCGGGGAGATATGACGTTCCAAAACGACAAAACTCCCTCCGCTCGGATGGAAATAGCTCCGCGGGGAGATATGACGTTCCAAAACGACATAACTCCCTCCGCTCGGATGGAAATAGCTCCTCGGGGAGATATGACGTTCCAAAACGACATAGCTCCGCGCGGTATGATGGGTAACAGCTCCGCGGGGAGATATGACGTTCCAAAACGACATAGCTCCCTCCGGTCGGATGGAAATAGCTCCGCGGGGAGATATGACGTTCCAAAACGACATAACTCCGCGCGATATAATGGATAATAGCTTCGTGGAGAGATATGACGTTCCAAAACGACATTGCTCCGCGCGGTATGATGGATAATAGCTCCGCGGGGAGATATGACGTTCCAAAACGACATAACTCCCTCCGCTCGGATGGAAATAGCTCCGGGGGGAGATATGACGTTCCAAAGCGACATAGCTCCGCGCGGTATGATGGGTGACAGCTCCGCGGGGAGATATGACGTTCCAAAACGACATAACTCCCTCCGGTCGGATGGGAATAGCTCCACGGGGAGATATGACGTTCCAAAACGACAAACTCCCGCCGCTCGGATGGAAATAGCTCCACGGGGAGATATGACGTTCCAAAACGACATAACTTTACGCGGTATGATGGGTAATAGCTCCGCGGGGAGATATGACGTTCCAAAACGACATAACTTCCTCCGCTCGGATGGAAATAGCTCCGCGGGGAGATATGACGTTCCAAAACGACATAACTCCGCGCAATATGACGGATAATAGCTCCGCGGGGAGATATGACGTTCCAAAACGACATAGCTCCGCGCGGTATGATAGGTAATAGCTCCGCGGGGAGATATGACGTTCCAAAACGATATAGCTCCGCGCGGTATGATGGGTAATAGCTCCGCGGTGTGATATGACGTTCCAAAACGACATAACT